ACTTCTAGCACACTAAAAACCTGATATCAAGTTATGATCTCATATGCAATATTTCAAAAACAAGGTCTTGATTGCAAAATTGGAAGATATTTTGCACTGTCTTTGCACAAGCAATATCAATTGATGACGATTGCAAAATAGCCCCGACGCGGAACCTCGCTTGACTCTAGAAAAAGCACCCTTTAGCATTTTCCAATGTTTAACACCAAATAAGTTGGTGCTTGACTGTGAAGTTTCAAACAGCAATCAGCAATGTATCGATAGCAGGATCATTACCGAGAGATGCTGGCACAGTAAGGCTGTTAAGCCGATAGGCGTACTGCAAAACTCTTCGAAACCTTATCGTTATGTATGGCGGTGTTATGATTTGCCTGTTTATACAGACCAAAAGTTGCTCTTTCACCCCCTCAGAGTGCCCCGAGTTTCCCTGAGTGTTTTTGTTCTTATGTCAGCCCAGCCTAATAGTTTAATCTACACTATACACTGATAACTATTGAAGCTAAATGTCCTGCCAGGATTAAATCCTTTTCGTACAATTTCTAAATCACAGCCCTGTACGGTTCAGCATAAATCTTCAGCAATAACATCACAAGTACCGTGCTCCAGGTTGTCAATCGCTAATGGCACCATTTGATATTACTTTGTTATTTACACACCTTACAGGAAAAGTTAATTTCAAACTTGGAGCGGCCTTTCGACGTTACCGCCATGCAACGGTATCAGCTGGTCTGGGAACGTGTTGCATCCAGATCGATTGTTTACCGTGCCGTTTTGTAGAATTAAAGGTTGTTTGCATACAGTGCGTTCATTCCGCTCGATAAGACTCGTTATTGACTGTTGCCGCCGGTCTATCGTTATGTGGAAAAAAATAGAGATTTAAACACTTATGCTTAGCCTATCGAAGGACCAGATGCAACAATTTTATTTATTCACACAACCATTTAGCTGACAATGAGCTTCATCAGAAAGGACGTGACCAAAGAAGTATCTAGCAGATGCTTTGCGCTTCAGCGTGTATTCAACGAATAAACGACGTTTTTTATAGTCCTCGATCGCTAATTATCGAGTCAGTTGCCCCTGGCAGAGATAAAGGGGCGATTCCTGCTTCACAAGACGTCAAAGGTTGATACGCTGCGTTGTTGAATACGACACCGTGATGAGGTCGTTGCCGTGCAGCTCTTCCGGCTCATGATCGTTTGGCTTAACTTTATCCGCGACTGAGCCGGTAGCACCAGCTTTCCGGATCAACCGCTTCAGTGTGAGCTTCGCCAACACGAAGTATTCTCTGTATTCTGCCATACACTTGCGGAATGTCATCATAATCGGATCGCCATATCAAAAAAAACAAACTCTATTCCAAGCTGACCGCGAACCGCAAACACCTCCGTCTTTAGCGTGTGATAAGCTGTTACCTTTTTTGTTAACTCAAACACCGTGTCAGACAGACATTGATGTGCCTCGTCGTCTCGAAGTCGAAACGGCATGAGTCCGACTGTACTTCAAAATGTTCTAAAAGCCTACCAGCTAACTATGTTGTCTAAGTTGAACTAAAATCATCTTTATATGTCAGGTAGAAGACGGTATATGCGTATAGTACTACCACTGCATAAATTCTACGATATTTGTATTGTTATCAGTACTCGTCATACAAACGCTACTAATTGGTTTTCGAGTTTTTCAGGCTATTTGCGGAGAAAACTAGTTTTTCATTCCTGCGATACAAGCCATCTCAGGTTTATAGGCCGCGTCCCTCGAGATTGCCTGTTGAGGAATCCTTTGTCATTAGAATTTCACGTGGGTAACGTGTAACTGCGTTATTAGATGTGTAACTGCGCAGTATTTCTAAGTTGTTTGAATCGGATATAAAGCATTTTCCTCGTGGCAGAAATGATACGAAGTTTATCTATTTCTTAATAGAACGTATCGCAATCGGGGGTGGTATCACGGGTGGTATAGATTAAAACAATCGTTCTCATATCTGGCTTAGCTATTTGTGAATCCTTGACGCTAGCCATACAAGTATATTATAATTGTTCCAGATGTTTTTGTGATAGTGAAATCTTTTCCGCTTCGGTTCACTAATGCGACTCAGACGAATTGTGACTTCAAGCAACGCCTCTAGCATCTCATAAATCTTACTTCCTTTTCACGTTGGCCATGTCGATGGAGATGCCCTCTTATGCAAAAGCCACTGGTGGTTTTCTCGTACAGTCCTCATATTGCGAGCAATCTAGGATTGTATCGAATACTACATAGATATTATATCTACAGCATAGGGTACTATATATATAGTATGCTATGCTAGCCACGCGATAACGTGTTCTGTAGAATACAGCTCTTTCACTTACCGCTGGGACGCTCAGCTGCTACATTAGCGATGGGAGCAAAGTCACTCACTGTACATCCGTAAAGTGTAAGCGAGTCATGTTTTGGTCAGTGGTCTGCCAAACATGGTACGATACCTTTAAGTCGTTTTTTCTTCTTGTAAACGTTTGACCGACGAGGGCAAGCGGGCAGACAGTACGACAAAGACAAGGCATGTGTTAAACGCTCAAATAATATTTCATAGTGCACTCTTCAACGTCTGTCTCTCTTAAGGGGCTGCAAACTGTCTGAACAAAGATGGAAGATGATAATAAAATGAGCCTTTGGTTTTATTCGATTTCGTACCTATTTTTTCTTCTAAGACGAGTGTTTCGCTCAGTAGGTTGTTAGATATCAATATCTGGCGCTGATGAAATTGTATAAGAGCCAAGTTTGAACAAAGCGTATTAAACAGTAACTTCGATGGCGTCCTTGAGGTTGCTCACTTATAGTTTCAGCCAATGATTGCTCTCTCAGGATAATTCCTTTATGGCATTGGACGCAGACGTGCTTACCAGTAGTTTATTTTTACTGGTTCTCCATAGTGCAAGCAGGTCTTGAATATAAGATTCCCAATTATTTCGCGACTTAGTAGGCTGATTTTCCGCAACATTCTAAGCGTTTTAGATTTACGATGTCAAGCCAGCTAAGTAGTACAAAATATTTTTTTGATTACAAGTCACCTGTTCTATAGATGGCTTTGATTGACAAGGCTGGTAGCAACCCTTAACGAGTTCATGAATTCTCAGAAAAGCATTATGTGTTACATCGAGCCAATATATCAATTCGTCTCGATTAGGCCACTAGGAAAAACGCCAATCGATACCTGCTAAACCTGTAAAGGACAGAAGATAAAAATGAACCACATTACCGCTTTTGATGTATTACATGACTTACCATAGCATTCCCTATGGGCCTGAGCTCTGAGCCTTAACTGTTTTTAGGTATATTATAAATAGGGGTAGAGATCTTTAGGTAAATGGGTCGTGTCCAAAGAAAGTTACGCAGCTCGTTCAATTGTTCGAAGTAAACATTGGTATTAGTGTGGCCTGCAATAAATGTAAAAATTGCGACGATTATCTCGAACTTTATCTTATGTACGTGGGTATTGAGAACGACCGTATTCATCGATACATGTTCGCAGAGCCATGTCTTCGCTGTTTGAGGCTATCGTCTTCGTAAATCGACAAATAAATCGGTCTCTAGCCAATATATTTTAGGCTGGCTTGGTTCCTTAACTTTTAACAGCCATCTCAGTGGTAGCTAACGATACGACGATTTGCGTACGTTACTGTGAGGCTGCATTGATGTTCATAGAAAAAAACAACAAAAAGATTTAGTTTGGTTTAGGACAAACGCAGTTCTTGAACAGAATAGGCCATCAAAATAACGAGCTCTTAAGCCTACCTAAATTAAATTTATATACCTTTAAAACTGCGCCCAGTAAATTCAGGGTAGACATTTTTATGGGCGTCAGTTCTGGATGCATTTTGTATCGTTTGTCGGCACAATCGCTTCTCTCATTTAAAGTATGCTTTAAATCATCTACAACTCGTTGGGCACTTGTCTTTAAAAGATAAGATGAACTTGCTGAAAATAAAAGATCAAAAAAAGGTGCCTCAACATATTACGAGCTATTATGTAAACTTACTAAGTATTGTGATTGACAAATGCGTGGATAGAGTGTGCACGTACTGCTGGAGTGAAGAAATTTAACTTTTGTTTTTTTAAAAGGAAGATATCTTTGACGAACCATAATTAAAGCATGTATCAGGTGAATTTGGTTTGGCGATCAACCATTTCTTTAATTGACTTCTAATATCGATCAATATTTTCCAAATGTTTAAATGGTCCGTTTGTGCTACACTCTTCCATAACCCGTACATTATACATTTCTATTTTGCTTCCTTTGTTTTACTTAATATTAGATGTTATAAAATTAGAAATAACCCAAGACGAGCCTTCTTAGCTGCAGAAAATTGACTGATCACTTCGATTTTGTTCCGAAGAAGTGTAATATATGTGTCGAAAAGATTTTATTAATTTTTGCCTTTTACTGCCTCACTAGTAAAAATGAGCAAAAGAATCGAAAATCCTAGAACTTAGGAAGATAGACAATCTTTCAGTATAAATTACACCTGCTTATAAACGAAAGAAACTGGGCCGCACGAAAAGTAGCCACATGTCATAAAAATAATAAATCGCTATGGGTGATATTTTGTCAATTCTTGACAATTTCAGCGAAAGTAGCAATTTTAGCGTTAAATCGTAAAAAGTAAGATTTTTATATCTTACTTTTATCGCCGAATCATCTCTCTGGTGTAAGGCAGAGCTTGAGGAGATATCATCCACTTTACAATATTGTCCTTTGAGAAACGTTCAACCGTTATCGAGTAAATCGACAAACCGGCCAACTTGCCCGAATCAATGGAGCCCGTGAATAGAAACATTTATCCACTGCACTTGCATCTTAATCCACAATGAGGGTCTAACACCGTCAAAAAAAAATTAGCCCAGTTCGACCGCACTACGCCCGATAGATATACGAATAGGCAAACAGATAGATAGATTTACTTTCAGCAATATATCGAAATAACTAGATTTGCCTATCTAGTAATAGTTTTGTTAGCACTTACCAAAATGATACGGGAACGTAAAGCGCAATTAGTTTAAGTTGAGATGGTAGCTAGTTTTGAATTGAGCCACAGTAGCTCATTTGAATATTAGTAAATTGTTGAAGGACAGTTTGTGCTGAACAGAAAAGCACCCGAGGCAAACGGTCGTCATAAAAGGGATAAAAATGGTATTAAGCCGATTACTATTCTTCACACTGTTGCATACACAAACTGATCTTGTTCTTCTTTAGCCTGACCAAAATCGAGATTGATTCCAATCTTTGCAACGTTTAGCGTATGATGCAACTGGTCCGAACGTGTTAAGGCAACTTTCTTGCGACGCAAGTTATTCACTACGGCAACGTCTTTGCTGTTCTAGTTTGTCGATACTTCTGCTATTGTATTCCTGGCAGGGTATCTCGAAAAGTTGACATTGCGACCATTACGGTCGTCGGCTTCGCGTGATATATGTATATAATGGCATACAGTGATAATGTAATTACCAGAAATGGTTGTCGCTTGGCAAATAATTACTGAATCATCACGCTCGCGTCTGATCGGACAGTCTAAAGCGGTCAGGCATACAGCCGACATACTATTTACTGTTGAAAGAGGGGAACACTGTAGCTCACCATAATTTCCTTAGGGTCTTGATGGTCAATGGTAGACCATTAGGTGATTTCCTTCAACGTACGAAAATAAATAAAGGATAGCACTATACGGATGGTTAATAAAGGCGGACTGCATTAGGTCTCCAGAACAAAGCAAACTTGTTGAAGATACTTGGATCGATGGTAGGTTTGTGTACAATGCTTTCTTCAACTTTTATACTTTTCATATCACTACGTACTCTGCCCTACGTTTGCTTCTATGTTTGTCTGTCAAAATTGATAACTGCTCATCTTGCTATCAAGCGTGGTTCAAATCAAGGTCGAGTTCGGTCATTCTATTGTCGAAAAATGTACTTCATCAAGCGGAGTCGAAAGTTGTCCGGCGCTCCCCAATATTTGAGGATCACGTAAGGAGTTACAGATGACTACCCAATTGGGTAAATTTTTGTGTTCTGTTTGACCAAAACATAGTCGTTCACTGTGAACGGAGGCGGCAAAGACGGTTGCGGTATGATCCTATCCTATCCTATCGATGTTATCGGCGTTTATTCTTCTTGATTACTCTTGAGAATGCGATGTTGGGTAATCCAGGACAACTTTTGATAGGATAATCGTAGCACTCTGTTTTTTCTATGATGAAGCAACACACACCGGTGACGCTTTTTTCGGCAACACAAACAGCAATAACAACGTTATATTACATAGACATTGTATGATGAGATGCCGCGTTGCGGCTGCGGCCACATGATATTTTCTTGGCTTCAACTTTTTGTCGGCTCGAACTCCGCTGCAGACGCTGCGTTGGTGAGGCTGGTGGTGACTTGCTAGCGTCAAAATGGATGCTGGTAGACTTCATTTGTAGTAATGATACCAGTAGTAATTGTAATAGTAGAAGTAGAATGGTGTCTTCAGTTGTAGAGGTAGTATATGTAACATGAAGAATAGCGTAGGGCGAAGGCGGATACGGCAATGGATCATGATCGATCAGGATCAATTGTGCAATGTTATCTCTATTGCCAGTTAGATTTGGCTGCTTGAGAGGAAGATGCAGTAAACGTCAAGGAGAAAAAGAAGAAGAAGGTTAAACGTGAACCTGACGAGACGGCGGCACAGCAGAGATATTCGAACAGTTATCTTCCGCTTTACATTTACAACTGATTCATTTGTTTTTAGCTTATTTTTTGCTTGCTTGCTTGCTTGAATGTCTGTTTTTTGCCGTCGTCTCGTAGTGCACGCTATATAGGGCCTACTCAGTGCCAGCCACCACTGCCTTCAGGTGATGGCTGTGGGGTGAGTCACACGCAAGGCACTCGCGGTTCCACTGACAAACGCTACTGCACCTCTCGACCGACCGAGCATCCTGCAAGCGCGGACAGTCACGCCTGTACCACGTGAGGCCATGAGAGAGGCACGATGGAAAGGGGTCCTGTGGGGAGCGCACCTTCTCCCAATGAGGGTTGCTTGCTAAATGAAGGAAAGAGTAGCAATGAGGGGTTGCTGATGACCCTGCGGATCGACCTAGCAAAAGGAGGAATGAAGGACGCCACTGACGACAGCAACAACAGAACTGCTTCTCAACTAAACCTTAGCATAGAAATGTACGTGAATACGAAAACATTATACGGCGGACAACATCTGCCTAAAATAACTACAGGTGTTTTTTCTTTGCCTCAGTAACGTCACAGTTGACTGCAAATGGTGGCCCTACCACACAACTACAAGAACTATATAATAGACAAACGAAAATTAAACATTTTTGCAATTTGATATTATTAACAGTGTACCTGCTAATTCGCGAAACAAACGATTGTTTGCATTTTTATAAAAAAAAAAAACAAACATAGTCATATGTAGTTCGAGCAAATAACACCAGCCATCGATGTAACCGTACACAGCTGCAAGCTTTGAGCTGTGGCATGTTATTATATCCATAAAGATGTAAGATATATGTAAGTAAGGGCTAGATAAACATATCTACCTCTACTATATACGTTGTATAGATCGGTAAACAAAGAGACTATCGATACGGCTCGTTCATTAGTACCGCCACTGTCGTCATCGAATCGGCAGCGTCATTAGCAATAACAACAGTAGCAACGTTATCACCATCCATTGCTGCTGCTGGGAGCCGTCTGCGAAAAACGGTACCTAGCTAAACGGTAAGATGGTATCCAGTCCCCAGCGAGAGTAACTTGGGTTTACCCGACTGCTTGTTGCCTCAGGGCATTACGCGAGAAAGCCTTATTGCTGCAGTAGCAACCTGTTATTACGCTTGTCGGTAAATAGCTTCGGACTGCTAGAAAGAATCGATAACCATATGCACAACTATCGACTCTTCACAATCATTATATGAATATCTATTTATTATTATTATTATTATTATTATCTGTAAGTCAAGAAAATAGAAAAAACATATAACGACTTATCAGATTATGAACAGGAACACGACTTCAGAGAGGGCAATGGTATCCTGCGTACATAACTTTCTTTACGTCTGTCGTACATGCACCATTGGTTTGATTCATGGAAAGCCGGTTATCTACATAACTTGCAATAAAGCCTTAGCTCAGCAAAACGAGCCGACAGTCTCTTCAGAACTCTAATTCAGTAGAAAGACTATTGATTAGAAAAGCTCCTCTTATCGTCTATCGTATGCAAGTACAGCTTTGAAATATAATAATATAGAGTTTCACGTAAGTCAGAAAAAAAAACAGCAATTAATTCGCTATTTTCGAGCTTCTGAGCTGCCACCTTTAAATTGAGCAGCTGCGTTCCTACAGGGTTTCTTTTTTTACTCGCGAAATCTTACCCTGTACGCGTGTATTGCCAAGCTGGCGCACCGTCGACTGATGATCTGCATCGAAGTATCTGCTTCACTTCGTGAGTTGGCAACCGTTGGAAACTGTCGAGAGTGTTACAGCTTGTAAATACTAACCTAAATAAGTGTCGAAATACTTAAATTATATCGTAGCAAAGCAGAAATCACTAACACGACAATCACTGAATTCTCTATGTATTTCTTTGAATGTCTAATGGATTATTAATTTCTCATCAGCTTAAGTGTCGTATAAGTGCGACAAAAACACAACGGTCCTTTTCTGCTATAGCTATACAAGTGTACCGACATTACAATATTGTACTTTTCATTCTAGCAATAGCCCATTATAAGAATAGGTAATAGCTCCTCGTGCGTTATAGTTGCAACTCAACTTACATCGAGTTTGCCTAAAAGAGTCATCGGCAGCAATACTATTAGAGAGAAAAAAACAGGAAAAAAAGGAAAATAATTTCGAAATATTCGTTATAATTCCGTATTGTTCCCACCATGCGCTTATCGTTCCCCATTGGGGGATTAAAATATTTCTAGCACAAATGTTTGTTCTCGAACTAAGACGCGTTGCTCATCATGGCAACGTATTAAGTGAAGACCTGCATAATCATGTGACGATCAATTGCCTCTGTTCCCACCAAGATGCTGAAAACAGCTGAATAACTATGGCCTGACTACGAGTATGGAGGAGCCAGAACCAGTTTTCTGCCTACTACGCGCTGTTACTAGAACAGTTCGAGAAAATGCTTAAGTATCAACTGGGAATCGAAACGGGGTCATAACGACTATGAATTCACCGCTGTACCCGCCTCGTCCTGGTAGCACCCCAGCATAAATTCAATTTTAGCCACAAAGTTTATACTTCGTCCTCTATTGCTACATAAATTGAAAATACATTAAATGTGTGGAACTCATCTTTTGGACCCGAACGCTCGGGTTTACATGCCATAAAAAATGCAATCACGAATAACTTCTTCAACGTAATTATAATAATTGGAAATAATTTAATAGCAGATATAAATAACTTAAGACGAACAGTGGTGTCAACTCATTTCAAACGTTTACTAGACTGTTATATATGTAGTTATTACTGAAGTTTCAAGTGTGCATGTTCAAATCTCTACTGTTTTGCAACGCAGCTTTGAGTTCTAAAGACAAGCAAGCCAAACGTTCGTTGACAGTCTAGAAAAAGTTTCTTGTAAATAGAAAGTTTCTCATTTTACATCTGTTAAAGTTGTGGGAGATATGTCAACTATTTGAGTAAAAAACAGGTTTATTTTTGCGATATATTTGCAGGTAGGACACGATAGTCCCTATGATTGCTGTAGTACTGTGCTACAGCGATGTTACGGAGTATAATATAACACAGGTGTATAATTGAAATATGTTTAATTAACTTATTAAATATGTTTGCATTTCTATAGTTAATAGTTTTCGTCCCTTCCAGATTCCACGCTAAAAAGAAGCCTGCGAAACAAATATAGTCGTCAATTTCTTGCTCGTAGTCGATCGATTTCCTTGAATGCAGCTTTCCGCCAAATGGCTCATATTTAATGTACTGTGAATAAGACGTAACCTCTCACTTCAGCCACGCGCGAAAAACAGGCTTGCTAGAAATATAAGCACGATTTCAGAGTCCAGCAGCGTCAGATACGAGAAGTGCGACGCGCCGCGTTGTGAATTCTAGAGTCTGCGCCGTCTCTCTTCCCTATATATCCTTTTCGATCTAAACATCAAAAGGAAGATGGGCTTCTTAGGCTTAGGGTACACGAAATAAAAATGTAAAAAGCACCAGCTTATAGTCGGCAATATTTTACGTTTTATTTCATAGTTCTGTGACAGGGACCAACACGTGCCTCCATCCTAACACCTCTTCCTAAAAACCTCACATGATAAGGCCTCGTGTAACACCGTAGAGATCTGTAGTATCGTACTGTTCATGGTATAGGTCAAACAGCTCGTGCTGATGTAAGCTTTGTGTAGCGATTATTTCAGCACGGTTCTGACTAACGTTGAGCGAAAATGGATCAATGCACCATGTTGGAAGACGTAAAACGCGGGAGACTGACAAAGATAGACCTGTGACGTTGTAACAATACCGCCAGTAATGTGAACAATTTACAATAAGATTGAAGTTATCAGATCTGTTCGCAGTGCCCCGAGAAGCGCACTACGCAATCGGCAAAGAAAAAAAAAAGTGCTGGTAAGTAAAAAAAAATTATCATAAATCCCTAAACTGTTCACACGAAGAGCTCCTCTCGAAATATCTCTGTATATATTTGTATATATGTGGTGTATATATAGCAAACGGCAGACACGTCCAAATAGTAAAGGTCATCGATTTGCACTGCTAAACTAAAATGTTGTTGCTAGAACATTGTTGTGGATGTTGCCCTTTAAACCTATATTAAGGCTACGGCACTACGACACAGTACTATAACAGCTGTGAAGGTGGCATTACGGCGCGCGTACTACATTTGTATTATACAATTAAATCCGTTTTTCCTTGCAGTAGTTCGTGTATCTCCTGCTACTTCAATAGGTACCAAATGAAGACCCTCCGTCTGTCAGGCGACTCTGTGTGTAGTAAAAGCTTAGTTGAGCAACAAGAAAACGCCTATACACATTATGACTTAAACAAATAATGTTATAGTATTGATTAAATGACGCTGAAACAACCGACATGAGTCAATATTTTGGTCAACGATTTATATCTATAAAATAGATTTGCGTACGGCTATCTTGGTCCTCTGTAAAAAGGATTCAAACACTACGAGTGTCCGTAGGTTTCCAGTTCGTGTTCCCAGCCAAAAGCTACGCACTAAATGGTCATTTTCTAGTCGCTGCGATGTAGTTATCCTAGGTTACTGAGACTACAATCGACAAATAGATTTATGATGTCTTTCGGCCTAGCATTGCTCGAAACGTCATGCCCTAAAGCTTTACATGAATGCCTTCCTATTTCCGAGCAATCGTCGCAGAGACAACAATGGATTCTTTGGAGAGGTGTGTGTTTGCCCCCCAAACGTAGCAGTTTCAGGGAAACTTGGATTAACTGGTCTTTGTTTGTCCTAATTAAGGTACGTTAGGGTTAAGGATAACGCATAAGTTCAGCTAACCCATCGACCTTATAAAAATTCATGCTGACGTGGCCACCCGGCTGTTAAATACACATCCCTATATTCGGATAAATTCACACCCGTGACGCCTGATAGATTATATATAACAGTATTAGGACTTTACAGACATCAAAAATGTCTCTACTGCATAAATCCATACATTTTTCCGTTTCTTTTGAGTTCCTCCGTTGGTTCTTTTTGAAATATTCCTGGCCCCTCTATGATTTTCACTATCGCACACTTCATGAGACATCGAAACGAACGAAGCAATGTTTCTTCAATGTCCTATCAGAGACAAATCGGTCCAAGCAATTGATGCGGAAGGTGCCGTCTGAATTGTACCGTATATTAGGGGCATCGTTTTTTCTTTTGATAGTACAAAATGTGCCAGTCGTGTCTGACGCCGTTCGATCGTTCAGCTCCATAGGGAGGCACCGCTGCGAATCGGAAGACACTTATATATCAGTCATTTTGAGCGGATGTTGGGGTGCAATGAAGGTTGCTCTCACTTCTTTCCTATATGTATGCTATTATGAACGGCCGTTTCTTGCCTGAAGGCATTACGCGATCTGCCTTCGCCTGCAAGTTTGATTGCAAATGATGATATTTGGTGTGCAGAGCTACAGAAGCTGTTCGTAGAGACGCTCCCACGTACATTCATGTGTCCGTGCTATATCGATTCTATCAACAATCGCCTAAAACACTGAAAGACACCGCAGATCGAAACCTTTAAAGATGTAATGACATTCGATCAAGCACAATTTCAATGTAAAACGCGTCGAACTCAAGCAGTTGAGGACTGGGGAGATCTTCTACGAGAAATACTACTATAGATTACATTGTACAAGATATATAAATAATAAACCTATAACTACTTGTTAAAACTAGTGTATGAAAGGAAAGCATGTAAATTATCAGCGGGGTTCAAACTTTTGCTTATTAAGGATGCAAATGTTGTATCTTCTCGAACGAGACCTATAAATCGTTGGGACAGTTAGTGCGGAAATGGAGATCACATGATGATACTACAACCTGATGATGCAAATGATTTTAAAAATTACCTGTAGCAGGTACAGAGGATAGTACTGACGGTTCAAGGAATTCATTTTGAAGAGCTTAGCCTGCTGAGATAGTAGCGGAACAAAGCGACAATTAGTTCATTAGGTGAGAAGGGTGCAGGAGGGGGCGAACTAATCTATGCCTCAGGAGTATGTGCTACGATGAAGTTGCAAAAATATATCGCATGTACTTCTATCTGCACAGCTAGGTGATGCAAGAAAACAAATGGTGCGGAATTTTACGAAAGTTTGGTAGGAGCACAACACGATCCAAGGAGAACAAATCAGGTACGATAATAAAATATCACCCCCATTACACCTATCAAGCATACTGTTCGATTTAACCGCGCTGGACTACATCATATATTTGAGGAGGTCTACAAAACTAAGTAACAGCGTATTAACAGCCTGAACATGCAAACGATATTTTACTACTTCTAGAAAGTAATAATCAGTAGAAAAAAAGCTTCAGGCCTGATTGATAAGCGAAGCACACCATAGGGCGACGAGATTTACCTGAAGGGGAAACAGATACTCTTCGAACGGTAACAGTAATACAACTCATTGGCAGCTATCTGTAGCACTAGGCTGACTCGCGGAGATTAAAGGCAGATGTTATTTTCATTTGAAAGAAAAACGGTTCAGACTTTTTGTGATAATAAACATCGACACTAAACAGGCGTTCAACTCTCATTCAGTATTTGGCCTCGTAGAGCAATCTGGGGGCCTCCTCAGTGTTTCCGTTTCTGTGTGTACCTACAAACTCGACATATGAATCTTGCTTGATCTATTAAATATGCAATACATCTATCGATTTCTCTCTTTAGCTAAAGACCTAGTAAACAACAAATGTCGAAGTGAACTGGAATCCAATTAGCTGGGTCGCATATAAAAATATCTAATATAGAGAAAGGAAAATGCTTTCTAAATGATCGCTGGATCGCCTGGACGAGAAACGTCGATAGATTCAAAAATTTTTGGATTTATTGTGAAATTTCTCGCATACTAGCGGACACGGTGCTATATGTTTAGATAAGATTTCCCTAACAAATATGAGATTTCAACCATAGGTCAAAGTTTTCTTAACTGTTTGACATTTAACAAATATGAGTTAACGAATAAAAATCTAGAAAAATATATTTTAATTAGTACACCTCTTGGATACTACCTGATTAGAAGAAAAGGCCTGAGCTAGTAAATCCATACCTGCTAAGTTTAGGGCTGTAATGTATAAATGTCATACTTTGAAATATCGTTGTGACGAGAGCTGTGACTGGAGAGAGGGCCATTGGTCGTACAGTGAGTGGAAGGTAGCAGAGCTCTAAAAGGCAACTTGATATGAGGAGTGAGCCAAGGTTAAACCGCTGTCTGGCACAACAGAAGCCAAACATTGCCGACACTTTGTATCATTCTGTTAAAGAGCGCGACACGCATTTGGCCCTAGACACTAGAACTCAGACTAATCCACTTTCAGATATCCTGGTCGATAACACAATACCGCAACGTAAAACATACTGGCACGCAGCCTGACGAAGAGAGTCGCATGATCAAAAGAGACGTTTACGTCATATTTTAATTATATCTCTTACATCGATGATTGAACAAATGGTCATGAATCCTTGCTCGATCGCTGAGTCATCTCTCATCGTTCTTTATTAAGTACATTCGCATACGTAATGGTTTCTGACGTATGTATTCGTCTATCATGTATGCGCGAACGAAGTATCCCGAGAAGCGAAGACTCCTTTTTCTAGCATTTCCTATGAGCCAACTCAGAATTAATCAGTTACCGTCCACGACTGCTAATTCTTCCAGGCAGAGTTCCCCAGGGAGCCCACGAGTTAAAGCAGGGAACTGTCACTTAGTCAATCCCGCGTAACCCCTATTGATAGTCCAGTAAACCAACGTAGCAGTCGCTCAAGCCGCTATAATAACGACGACAACGTGAACCTTAGGACCTCGAATTACCTTTCACCAGGCTCTGATTTAGTGTTGATGCACGTTTTCCTGATTTACCTTTGTAGAAACTCCCTATTGGACTAGTCTAGTTAGAGATTGCCCCCCACCCCCAAATCGGAAAGTTTACTGCTGGTCCGTGTAATACTCTGATTTAATCTGATTGAGGAACTAACTGTAATGGCCGATCAGAGGGCAGCTGTGCTTTCGTTGACTGCTTACTGCAGTAAACACGTGAGAAGGGTGGTCGTAAAGAGAGCACTGCATATACGTTTGTAATAGAGTCTCTGTGCATTTGTCGATTGCATAAGAGCTATGTATATCAAATAATGCTGGGTTCACTAGCATCAACTCCGACATTCAACCCGGGTCACGATTTAGGATAGCTTGCGATGTGCTTACATAGATATAATTAATTTGGTTTCTTCTGGGGGGTGCTGTCATTCTGTCTATAATAATAATAATAATACATCTTTGCTTTATTTGTCACGATTACCGTACAAGTAATATTATTGTTGTCTTTTAAAAACCAATATGTAGAAATAACGTTAACAGTACAACAATTTCACCTAAATATTGACATAAGCTCATTAGTACGATTTGTTATTATGGTTACCGCCACAAGACATCCTTAGGGTGACAAAAACACATGTATCACCAGCAACGCTTATAAAACTATATTCGTACTGCCTTCGAAATTATTCTTTTCACAGCCTCGACCGTAATAATATATAACATAGAAACAGTGTGAACCGGTGTAGCCGCGCAAATTCAACTGAGGAGAAGATAGAGGAAAAGTCGCTCAAAGCTCTTGGCTAAATGCCAATGGTAAAAGCGTCGGCACGTTTCGGGGGCCGCCCTGTCACCTTATGGCGAGACGCGTCCTAGCAGATTGCAAATACACATCGTACGGCTAGACTTCGTTAAGGCTACAATGTGCCTCTATGCTGCTCTTTCCCTTTTCACTTCTTTCCACCCTCTTGCATTACGCGTTACCGAGGAACCATGCAGTCAAATCCCAACCAAGAAACCACCAGCTTTCAAGAAGACGGCGGCGGCAAAGCACACTAACGCATGTACTGGCTTCGAAGTTGTGTCTACGAGGGCAATAGGCTATCAAAACAGCCTACAAGTAGGCGGTGGTCTAGTGAGACACAGAGCGCGACGATACTAATAACAGTGGGTTACCATTGGCTGAGGCTGTGCGGTTAAAGGTAATTGTGATGATGATAGTGGCTTAATATTTATAACAGTTGCTTACAGTGCATAGATAGGCAGGCAGGCAGGCAGGCAGGTAGGCAGGCAAATAACAGCATTTCACTTCTACGATTGAAAGTACTATCATTTGCAGGAAGTAAACGTAGTTAGGTAAGAGCGAGGGCAAGAACGATATTTCCTCCATGTTGCTTCTTTAGCTGTCATAATGCGCTGACTATGCTTTTTCTAGCTTCTGCTGATGTTGACAAGGGTGCTCTAGGCTTTCATTACAATAGAGACAATTAAAAAGGGCGTAATACAACTTCTGTACAGCGAACCGTCCATATCCGTTTTTCGTTCAGTACTTTTTCAAGAATCAATCTTGAAGCAAGCGTCCCGCCCCTCATTTATGGTACACAACAGGGAATATTGGTGCAATAAACTAAATCGCTCAACGCCTGTACTACTAAATTTAATTAAAGTATTCGAAAACGGTTTGGTCAAAGCCGAAAAATCCAGTCACCTAAAGTGAGCTAAGTATATGTCATAATAAATTTTTCTTAAACATAGATAATGTGATCCAAAAGCGATCTCGTATCGGACGGTAAATAACAAAGGTCCATATATGTGTGTGCGTATATATATATATGTGTATTTATTTCAATGATAAAGAACTTCGAGGTGGCATTTCTTCTAATATTGCTTACTCGCGTAGACAATCGTCAGGCGTCATCTATTATGTTGGCGTCGTCCATTACTTTCGAAGCTTAGTACAGCCTTACACATGGATTAACTCACACACACGCGCACCCCACTTTTACCTTCGCAATCGAACTAGTTGCCGGCCCTATAGACTTCCCGTTAGGAAAAGCCGCCGTTGGTATTATAACGAGGCTTTTCTACGACCCTGAAGCACTTCACCATCGTTCAGTAAGCTTTGTCTTAGAATTTTTGGTGCTGTCAATGCAACAACAATAATAACAAGTTATATTGATAGTGTCCAGAGCGTAATTACAAATTGAATGCCTTGTCGGCATTTGTGTTGTCCTTATTTAGTAATACTCAGCATTCCACCAGGGTACACGTCTGTCCTAGTTTTTTATTGTGTAGTCCCACTGCATACAGACAGGATCTCTCTATAAAACTGCCAGAAGGAAGCAAATATTTAGCGAGGATAATAAAGTCCTGCTGCAACGAAAGCATCAACTTTGTGTGTTAACGCGCTCATGTGACAACATTTTCTTAATGGTGATTAAGGGAGACATCTTCGTGACGTAGACGTATACGATAGAGAAACAAAAAGTGCTATAGGCTATAAGTCATTTTCACCGAAGTAAAACTCACCAAATCCTTCGATGGGTTACAGCGCCATCGTCATAGGACAGCTAGCCGGTAAAAATTAAGGACCTACGGCAACAGCAACAACAAAAAAGAGGCCAAAAATGTCTCCTGGACTGTGCGCGTGCTACAAGTGTGTCGTGTCCGGTCGTCGGTGGAATCTTGTGAGTGATTTTTTTCTAGCTCAGCTCAAAGTCGTCGGTATTCTGAATGGACAGTTATCCCTTATAGAGAAATTAATAGATAATCACACTTAATTGTGCTAGGAGTTTCCGGCTTACACACTGAAGTACAGATAGTACACACAGCCGGTGAATATACTACATATGTCTATATAAATTTTGAAAGAAGACGTGTACTTGATGTAGTGCCGCATTAAGATAGAGGGACAATTCAGAGAGATGCTCCTCAGATTCTTTGTGGCTGAACAATAATTTAGGCCTTAAGAAAATTTCATACTTAATTATTATTAAACAAAGCGATTAAAGCGACACTGCATTTCTAGAGGAAAACGCTCTTCATAAATGTTCGCTTATGCTTGTCCCTATTTGAAGCCTTTTAGTATAGACATCACTACAATAAGTTCACGAATTCAAAAATAGCAGAGATAGGGTTGAAGTAGTGTTCACGAACGCGAAGCGTAACGTAAGCCATTGCTAGTAAAAAGTCTCTACTTAGTGTTGGAGGATGGAGGAGACTTCTTCATGAAGCAGTGACCCGCAGTGATTTCCTCCCTCCACCACCGCTACCATGATCACTAGAATAAAAGAACTTAAAATCTAATGTATCTACTAACTGTACCCTCGTAAAATGAAAGGGATATATGCTTGTTCAAAGTCTGCATTAAGACAGCGAGTTACCCTCTAGGAGACGTATAGAAGCTGTTTCAGAAAAAAAGAAACAGTAAGGTAAGCTTAGCTATCTATAAGCTATTCGAAGAGCATGTGAGAGTTGTCTGAACAAGCCTTGTAGTTCATGCGTTTCTTTTCAATTTTGTACAGACAGTTACGGATATCATCCGTGACAGGCCACTTGTACGAGCCTGTGGTAGCGTGTCCAACTTACAGGATCTCTTCGCTGAGGATAAATGCGATGAAACCAACCCGTTAACCGCCATCTCAGAACGAAAAAGGATCTTAGTCGCTCTATATTTTGGAGCTGCATTTCGCGATTCTTGCCAGTGAGTAGTTCCCTCTATCGAGGTTTGTCTGACCAAATTAAATAAAATTGTTATATCGCTCACAGATGGTTTAATCAGCGTTATTTATTATCGGCAGCTTTTTTAATGAGTTTATTTGAAAGCTTAAGCAAGCCTAGATTTCCCAGGCGTAAAAGTTCTTATTTAATGTTGCTGCTGTCTTCTATAATGAATTTATCCAATGATATCGTTTTTAACAAGGGTTTTATAGAACAATATCGAAGCACAATAAACGCCCCGCGGCGTCTCATATTTAGATGAAGTTCATCTTCGAATCTGCTCGTAAACGTGCATATCGCGAGTCACAATACGGTGTTGATACAGGTAGAAACTGGCAGTCACAGAGTCTCAGCTAGCGGCGTCAACACGGCCGGCTTTAAGTTAATAATATTATTTGATATTATAAAAAAAAATATAGCTTGTTATTTTCTAAATTGAGCGGTACTTCTGTCCTATATCAACCTGTCGTATGAGCGTCTGAAATGAAATGCGCTACATGTTAAAAAGTATCGAAATATTTGTGTTTTTTTCATCATTCCTGTCTATGATAGGTGTCTCTGCCGTTCTTCACAATAAAGGACAATATTCAGTGAGTTGAAAGTCACTTCACGTATCCAAATTGTTTGGATATGCCTTTTTTATTTTCCCTTATTTTGGTTTTTGAATCCGTATGATATAAGTGTCTCGTTATAAATACAGAATGTATTTTTAGCTAAGTCAGTGACTGGTAGCCAATGCATCTTTTCAATGAGTGATGCTTGTATTTAGCAAATATGTGGGATGCACGTTTTGCGACCCAAGACACGGCAAACGCAATCATGTCGTCTTTGCTCCTTAACAGATTTGAGATGTGCAAACGATACGTTCAAAGAAGGGTCGTAATGCTCGGTCCTGTACTCATTTTTTGTCGCTAAAATCTGCCGAAATTTAATTTGACGATTCAGTTAAATACAGGAATTACTCAAGGCATCTGAAGATTTCACTTGGATAGCTCCATAGGCAATTAGAATTTTCTCAAGTTGAAGTTTCTAGTCGAATAAAGACTATTATGGTTCAAAATAACTGAAATGTAGCCGCTTTTGAAAACCAGTTCCAAAGTTATCGGGTTTAGAGGTTAGCGTAGGCAGGCTGCAGAACGTGACGGGTTGGGGGTAGGCTGAATGGTGCTAACAGAACGCTGCTTCAATTCCCTCAGTCTTTAGTTCCTTCGAAACGCATTCTTTAATACAAAGTGTGACATGACCTTAATCCGCAATAGACTTCGCTGAATCGGATCGTAACATCATCACAGTCATCATTGTTGTCATCATGAGCTTCGCCATTAACAGAACGCTCCTGCGCTCGCAAGGAACCATACTGTTACTGAGGAAACCCATGGTTCTAATAACTTTATAATCATAAAAAAACATGGCACAAAAATATTTTACAATAGACAGCTGTAATCTTTTTACGAGCTATACTCAAGACTTTGTATAGTCTCATATCCTTTTTGTCGTTGCGGAAAGCTCAACTAACCTCTCTTTAATATGACCTTAGGTTTGCAATAGCGGCCACTTTCTATTAAAATTATTCCATAAGTTTACTCGGTAGGAAGCAAATTGATGTATATACAGCTTGTTTGGATTATGCAGTTCTTAAACGTCGGGACGTAAAAGGATACGTAAATACAGGGCTTAAACAGACTCTAAACGGTAAACGCCTATGCGGTATTACAAACTTTATAGCAGTTATTATTGAAGGATCAATCCACTTCTAGTGAAGCACAAATCTGGTACTTCACTAGAAGTGAAGTAATCCTTGTGAGAGTGGCCATGCTTTCCCAACCTTTTCGAACAGGTTTACAATGAAAATAAGAATTTAGTGGACAAAAAAATGAAGGGAATCACATTTGAATACGCATGTTATAGATCATATAGCGTAAATCTATTAAAAAGTAAACCTAAAAAACATATGAACGGAAATAATAATGCTAAACTCAGTAACCTATTCCTTCTACTTGATTCTAAAATACTTCCCGACCACATTTCACTTGCCTTCTATACGTGGTTCCATTTGATGTATTTGTATTTTTCCGCCAGGGAAGGTGCTACTAGCTGAGCTGCATATAGAAAATCTAACGTTAGCCTAGCGCGTTAAACATAAGCTGCACTCTTTTTATATAACGCCAACAGTTCCATTTCAGTATCAGATAAAGGCTTCCCTAGCCTATACCAGTTCTTCAAACAATAGAGCTAATTCAAAGGTATAACAACTCGCAGACCTAATTTATTTTTGCAAATAGGCGCGCTATATTAGTCTATGTTGAAGACTGTAGTACTGACTGATGAGTGCAATATTAGAGAAGGCACCTTTGGGGCTTTTATGAGCGTACAGATCGAAAATATCCGAACGGCTAAATACGTTGTGATATAGCTTTAGACTCAACTAAGCTTGTAGCAACGCAAAATGACTAAGTAATTTTTAGATAATGCATACATAATTCAGACCACAGTTATATTGAATGTAAAAAAATTGGTTTTTGTAGCAAGCAAACATTTATCACGTCCGTGCTTAAAGTGGACAGATGTAGATGACCGATCCCTTCTCGTAGCGTAGTGAATGACGTATTTGCCTGCTTGACACGTAGTGCTTTAAGCATGAGTCCGGGCATAGAAGCGCTTCGTTTTGTGCTAGAAGTCAGCCGTCTATCTAATAACGCCTAACAACTTAAACACCATATGTAAAACACGTTGCAGATATTTAGTATTACAGAAAAAATGGTCTTTGAGTATTTAGGACCTTAATGGAGCCAATCCTGATCGACGAAAGACTAGACTGTTATTAACACGATAAGGTGAGCCTGGATCTTGCAGAGCATTAGCAACATGCGCTGGTGTCCAATCGAATTATATCTTAAGCACGCGAATCTATCCAAAAGGAAAGGCATTACCGACAATTTAGAAGGCTCGTGTCTATCGCAATAACTCGTATTCGCCTTATGTCAATGCTCGAGTCAGGGTACGTTGTTAAACGGATTAATCCCGAGCTGAACCAGCGGTACAGTACGAAAAAACGCGAGACCTGAAAAGACGGTGAGGGCATCTCAGCCGGCAATACTGGCTGAGTGAAATCGACTGATTTACATATTTAAGCTTACAATAAATGCCCTTGGTAGGAACTAATCGATAGAACCAACAAGAGGAAGTTACAATCGGGCTGATACATTATTAAACGTTACAGAATCCTTCCATTGTAATGCGAAGACTATTGATCCGTAACCCATTGACTTCTATCATTGGAAATTATGATAATTATGGGTGTTCTACTTTGCGTTCGATTCTCAAAGCAGCGGTCGTCTCAATATCCAGCCAGATGTTAAACCGACAAGCTATTGCGTCCGAGTTGTCAGTATTGAGCTGACGAAATTTATCAGTTAGAAGTATGTCCGTGAGTAGAATAACATTAGACTAAATCTAGTTTCTATCAAAGATCCTATTTCAAACTCTGACGAGCTTCGGTCGATAGTCGTATGACGACACGGTCGGAAAATAAATGTCGTCCTTTAGGAACGTTCCGATCGGCCTCTTGCCTTCGCAGCATTATCTTTATGACCAAACTTAGCGCCGACACTTAATAGTTATCATATCAATAGAATATATTACTCCTATCTCAGTGTACGTTTCTAAATATGGCTGGCATTGTTCGAATATTTTTTATGCTTTGTCTGTAGGCATGAATCTAATTTAGTAAAATGGATGTAGTTATATTTTACTGGGCGAATTAGTGTGAATGTTCGTCACGAGGAGATTAAAAGTTAAATGTAAGTTTAACTTTATTATAAATCGTCACGCTTTCCCAGGAGAACTCGCATTTAGCTGGCATAACATTTTGTATTGGGTTGCCCAAAACGACGACGATATAGCCACAATCTATAATGGCATGCTCTTCTTATCTTCTATGTTGGTGCACCTGTGCGTTCAAACCTTTGTTTGCAAGAGTGTTCGCTAACGAGCTGTGGATTGCACAGCGTTCACTGTATGCAGCAGGACTACGCCTTGAGATCGTATACGTTTCTGCCGACAGAAATGCAGATGAATTGTTCAACTTCATGAAGTCGCGACCCCAATGGCACGCTCTACGCTTCAATGACCCAGCCGTTAGGTACGCAGAGTTTACGATTCTCTACTAACATGTACTCGGGCTTGCGCGTACGAAAGTCACTAAAAGGCTACAAATTTTCCAAAGCAAGCTGCAGCTTGATGGCTCACGTTGCCTGATTTCAACTGAAAGTTGACGGTAAATACATAAATGATTCTGTGAACTCTGCCTATACTAGAGTTACATTGAACCACAGATATATATCTATCGGAAGAATACGGATCAAGTTAAGTGCTTAACTATTAAATTTTCTGCCTTTAACTTTACCAATTAGTGTACACAAAATGGTTATAATCTGGAGCCTACAAAACCTGAAATAGGAAGGAAAGTGCCAAAATAGCTACTATTCCTTGAAGATCTCGAGCAACAAATAACCAGTCGCATTGACCTTGCAGCATCTATCCACCTAATTTTCCTTCAGTAGGGTTTGTTCGTGCGGTTCGATGTATAATAAGCCTAAAATGCAGTTGTTTTAGAGATCTTCTGCTGAACGGTACGTGCTTTGCTTTATCGAATTTCAGTGAACTGCGTTCATTTTTGTCCATTCGTGAGGTGCCTGCTTTAGTCGTGATCGACAACGTTGGTCTCGTAGCACGTTCTGGTCGTCGGGATTTACAAACGCTTGGTCCTATTGCCATCTGGTGCAAGTGGACCAGCTCTAAGCCAGCCTCCTCTGCTCCTGCTAGGTCAGCAGGACCGTCAACCATATCCTCAGGGCCGTATGCGTCAAGGAAAGCAGGTCCTTCAAGAAATGCCATAAAGCCGCTCAGAAATAATTAAAACTAGCTAGGAAACAGATAATATCTAATCAAATACGTACGGATCAAATGATACCTAGCTGTACCCCAGGTGGCTCGAACATCCGGTGGGAATATCTACTAGCCTCCTCGTATCTAAACCCGTCTGTTGGCGATTTGATCCGCGGAATCGAAAGAAGTAATTTATAAGCCTCTCTAGAGAATGTACGCGAGTGTTGGTGACGCCATTGCTCGCGGAAGTTTGGCGAACAGAAGCAATGATAAGGATCCAATCTGGACTCAGTGGCCACCTTAAAATGTAGGTTACAATCTTACGTCGAACGCTGTATTATAGCTACCAAATATAGTGGATATACTGTTCAGTCGATGAATAAATTCTACTCAGTCTGGAGTTGGTACTTTCGAGCCATTAGACCCTTTAACTAAGCTATTAGTTTGTATACGATATAATTCAGTTAAAATATTATGAATCAAACTTTGAATTCTGCCAGCATAGAAAACTCATAGATATCGGTTGCATACATATTTCTCGGGGTTTGTGATCATATTTGGGCTAGACCCATTTTTTATATGACCCTAAAGCGCTTGAAAAGTGTGCGCAAGAATCTTTCGTTGCGCCTCGACATTTGCACCAAAAAGTCCCCTTGAGAAAAAAATTGCACCTCGTGCACAATTAATATGATTTCACTTAGCAACATCGTGGGTTAGCAGGTTGATGCAATAGCTGAAGACCAGTGCCATTTTATTATACAAATATTTAATGGTACGTCTTTACTGAACTTCGTTTGTGCTGATGATTGTACATCAGATAACTATTAGCACCATTTAATTAGTTTAAACTAGCAAGATAGCTTTCAATTTATTAGATAATCAATTCAATCTACATAATAAACGTAGGACTTGGTCGATGCATCCATTCAGTCATCTGGACGCGTTTTATTTTTGAAAATGTTTGTTCTTCGCAATATATACGGCGTTCGATCGTTAGGAGTGGCAGGAAGAGTTAAATTGTACATTTTTAATAATTACTTGCAAATCTCACTGGATACGTTGGCTATGGAAATTATTATAAGCAAAAGCGCTAGGTATAAACACGATCGATCAAAACGACTGATGCGATATATTCGCGTAAATACCCGTGACATTTCCAAATATAATTTAGCGCGTAGTCTGCAGCTGCTTATTCGAAAACAACCAGTCGTCGGAATAAACGCTGCCACAGGAACTTATCCCTTGGAAACAACAATGGGCCCCAGTTTGCCTAGCTTGCTTGGTAAGTTTACCCATACAGTCTAATCGAGTACAAGTAGGAGTCTATAAATGTTTACCATGTAAATATGGCATGTGTCTAAAGGTGTGCGTAAAATTTCGTCGTTACGCAAAGCTGTTGTACAAGTACTACACTACGATGCTAATGGTGTTACCTTCGATCCACAACGGAGTTTCAAATTATTTAGCTTCTTAATATTAGTTCGCCTTGCGATTACATTTTTTTTTTTCGTAATATTGCATATTCGAAGTTATCTCTACGACAGCCCAAATAATACACCCGAACTTGATGTGCTTGAAGTATCAGTTCCTTCAAGCCTACGCCAAACGTAGCATTATTTCACCTAGGCAGAAATAATGCGTAATAATTTATAGCCCGGAAAGATGCCACGCGTCACTGTACACTAAAAAAAGCTGTACATTTATGTACTTATCGAAATATGCCAGTATATGAATATGTACGTGACAGTCGTACGGCCTTTCGCCGAAGAAGGGACGACTAAAAGTCTTGACTGTATTGCAAAGCTGTTTGTGATCACTGGTCATTGTGAGTTAGAAAAATTAGAATAGTTATATATCTGGCCGCGGAATTGTATCATGTGCCAAGTTCTGTTTTCACCTATAGAGATAACACAGGATTTGATATCGATCGCTACAAAATTTCCATTGTTACAAGGATATGAGAATTATTTTGACAAATTCATCCTAAAAGACGTTTTGTATTCTTGCGATTGTAGCGCGGTGATTGATTAATGTACCCGTTTGGGTAAACGAAAACCCGAATAGTCTGCGAACGAGCGAGCTACAAGCGATCCACAAACAAAGCATCTCCGAGCTCATTGAAATAAGGTTCTAAATGTATGTATTTTACATTGTTCGCGTACGCGCACTATTTCGAAACGATTATGATAGGCTAATATATATAATTCGATTTTCGATATTAATCCAGTTGATACTATTAGGCAAAGAACGAGTGAGGAGATTTTAAAAACTCGGAAAGGTTCCATTTTTCTTGTTTAGTCGTTTGTCGGTTTTCGACGAGTGCCTGAATGTTTCATAACGCATTTGAGTTAGCCCCTGTCATCAGGCGTTTCTCAATCGGAGCAGGCAAGTGACGTATGGCGTTAGTAAAGAAAAATTCCTAATTATTCAACCCAACAACATATACATATGCAACATATTGAATACTAGCAAAAAAAAAAAATTAAGAATGGGTCTTGATGGCGTTTGTGTAATTACCCTTGACCAATGTATTTCTATACAGACATAAAGTCTAACAGCACACAAGCAATGGGTAGATATATTCATGACCACACGTTCGGCAAGTATGCTACTGGATACTGTTTAGGTCGAATTGTATGGTCTTGTGGACTACCTTCGTATGGTTACAAATATTCTATGCTATTTATATATTTACTGGCCTTAAATTTTTGTCGACAATGCTGATATGGTTTAACTTGTTTGTATGTAACAACATGCTCATTCAAGCGTTCCTCCAATACGCTTTGATAACGACGTATTCAACACTTTTCTCGACCAATCCAAGCTGCCAAACGCTAAACAAAAATCGGTTCTGGTAAGTTTGGTGCCAATGCAGCAAGAACTTGTATAGGAGAAAAAGTTCAGGAATCCTACGTCATTTTCTAACACTTCAAAACCCTCGCGTAACACGATATTACCGAGAATTAACATAGAAGTTTCGCGGCTGATTTTTTTTATGAACAAATGATTATTTTAAATAGTAACTATATCGTACAACGTTTATTAAGACACTATATTACATTTTTAGTGTTCTTGACTTGCATATTCCGGGTCTTTCGGTACCCCTCTGTTTATCCCCCTGGCCCCCAGCCGTCCAACTATGCGAAAACACAAATCGCCTGACCCAAATTAGATACAAATTTTCAAACTCTAAGAGATAAACTGAATAACAAAAATAAATGAAAAAAAAAACTCTTTTCATCCACCTTTGCTGCTAGCAGTCAATACAAATTAAAAACTGAATATCACGATATCAGAGGGAGTGGGGGACCATCAAAACACGTTTCATCATACGGATTATACGAGTCCGATAATTATAATATCGTATGTGCTCAAATTTTTCGCAGCAAACAGCATCTGATATCAGCAGTAGGAGCAACGAGTCGATTTCGATCGTTGTCATTTGAAACAATTTAACCTGAACGGCTATAGAGACTCGTGGCTTTAGTTAAAAGAACAACTGCCTGACAAACCCCTCTTTCTACAGAAAGCGTCTAAGAGACTTAATAGATTCAAATTTCCACAGAATATCAATACCAGTAATTCGGATATGAAATATGTTACTATTGTCCTTCTGCAGACTCTTTGCACTTTATATAACCTGCAAAGGAGTATAAACAATATAAAGTTTGGGAAGTGTTCAATTGTACAATTGCGAGGCGGAGATCGATTTTGATTCTTGCTGTATGATATACTTTTCGACTTGAATTCTGTTCATACTTTTATTCGTTCGATTTCATTACAAATGAGAGGACCTACAAAAGAAAGCGTAACCTGGTAGGCATAGGTTATCCTCGTCCCCTACTTTTTTCCGATGCTTGTGTCTGAGTTAGTGACTGGAAGAATACGTTAAGGTTGTTTCAGGATACCTACATTTCATAATGCTAATAAAAATTGTGATTTTTGTTTAAGATATTGAATTTACCGTTCTTTTAGATATTCTAATATAGACCCCTCTGCCCTAAAATAAATGCCGCATTTTTATAATCTCTTTCGAAAAGGTCATAATTGTGTTTACAAATACATTGACTAGTTACGCAGAGCTCGGGACACTTTTATATTGAAATATTTCTAAAAAATTTTAAGGCCTGTCTGAATAATCATGGGCTATTATTAGGTGCGTACGCAGTATAACTGTGCAGTGGTTTAATACCCTCTTAGCAGATCCTTTGATAAAGGTTTGCGACTCTGATTGACTACGACAAACGTCAGGTGTGTACGTTAAAAATGATGCAGATTAGTAATGTGGACTATAAACGGGTGAGCGATAAGTTGATTGACGACGGAATGCAAACCTATGGACAGGCACTTTAATATCTTTATTATTATCTTTAATATTAAGGCGCCTTAGTACAGCTAATTAAGTTACCTGAGCACGAGCCAAAAAACGGCGCGCAAATTTCCGGTGATAGATGAGGCAGTAACGAACTTTGTATACTGGCGTCGCGGAAGTTGCGTGTTCGAATCCGCTCGTTTGCGCGACAGATTTTTCACGCTGCCTTTAGTTGGCTAACCTTCCGTCTCCATTATGAATTCGTCTCAGCGTAACGCAACAGTAAATCAATATGATATTATATATAGGTTGTATTTACATACTGCTTTCTGAATTATTTTCACTGGCTTTCGATGTTCAGCAGCGATAAGCTGTAAACAAGAACGAATCTATTATTATTATTATTATTAAGGCGTAAGCCTTATGTATATACTGTACGCTATAATTGAGTGAGATTTGATTTTGATCAAATCTTTCGATACGTTAGTCCGCTTCGAGCATAAATGGCAACTGCTCTCACATGATTTCTTTTCGCTGTCTGCTGTAGAGGCTCGGCAAAAAGAGGCGAACCTTTTGAAGTGTGTATCACCTTGTCCTGAGATACTTATGTGATGTACTAGTTAAGCCAAAATATTAATAAGCATTGAATATCTATTTAAAAATACTTAAAAAAAAAGGCAGATTTTCAACTTCGATGACTTAGCTTTAGACTAAACGGTTTAACACACAGTGTTATTTTCAGCGATATGCTATGGTGAAAATCGTTTTCCTGTCATTTTTCTGCCTACTGCATAGTTTGTTACTAGGCAATACGAGTAACAATAGTATATTATAATAAGGTAACTTGCTACACGGTACTCTTGCACTCCAGGCATATGCACGTAGCTCTCATGCACTGCTCATTGCCAAAATGTATTTTTCTATTTTCACAAGTTATAGATGAATACGAAATAGCCAAACGCGGTATGACATAAAGCCACTTAACAGCTAAAGCACAACATTAACAAGAATATTTAAGTGTTTGTTGAGCCCGGAAGTGACCCAAATAGGTGAATACTTTGAAGTATCATTAGACATTACTATAACTTACGCTATTGTAATAGGCTAAGTATGTCGATGATCTATTCCGACATTAAAATCGCACTTAGCTATCTTTCTCAAAAAAGTCACAGGTCGTTCCTTTTCTCCAACTAATCTGAGGAAGGTACCCAACACTGGTCTCTCTACGGGCTCTCTATGTAGGTTAGGCGATCTTTGCTTCGGTCTATTTGACTGCCTTTTCGTCAATATACCAAATAACATATAATGTTTTTTTTTAGAAAAACTTTATCGCGCTAGATATAATTGTTACTGAAATGCTATTCTCTGTTAAGCGTTGCGCGCGCAAAAAAAACACTGCCAAGCTTTACACCCCTCCTTTTATTATCCATAGTTAGGGCTTAGAAGGGCAGGCGTAATAAAATAGCTAATATTAATAATAATTTCATTAATACACCAGTAATAAGCAAATAATGAACAAAGCACAGCTTGAAACTGGCTGGAAGAAGTGTTATTTTCGAAAGGAAGTTTTTGTGTTAATTCGACCTCAGTGCAACTGGTTTTTAACTGGTTTCTTTCAATCAAGTCAGCTGAATGGAAATCTGTATGCTATTTCTAGTTATGGCTCTGTTGGCAAAGAGCTTAACGATTCTCGCCGCTTCTTTGCAGATAGGTGGTTTGATGATAGCTCTTTTAATTGTGCTTCCCCAGATGGCTCAAACGATCTTCATCCTCCGAAAAAACCAAATAATGATTTGTTTCTTTTAGAGACGCTCGTTTTGTTGTACATAGGAAACGACGGGCCTTATACACGGCCTGGGTTTAAGGCATTTGCTGTAAAGGCTAGGTTTGCACTGTCTGCAGACATTGTCTGGCGGGCGAAGTTTTCTCGAAAGGGAAAGACTTTATTTTTTTTATTTAGGCGCAGATTACATGCTACAAAAAGGTAGCCGCAAAAGTGTACAATCTCTCATGCTTGTGGTCGCGCACTCGATAATCCAGAGCGATAATGGATATTTCAGATTGTCAAAGCTTTATAGAACTAGCTAAACAGCTCTCTGAGTAGCCAAATAAATAACCTAAAATACGAGTATATATATCTTAACGTTTATCGGAGTAACCAACACAACGCGAGTAGCACCATCTGTGGTGGTGGCAAAAGCTACAAAGAAGTTAGCAAGCGAAGAAATCCTAGCCCGCGAGGTTTGTGCTCGATCTGTTTGAAGGATACAGCCTTAATTTGAAAGTGCAATCCCGACCTGAATCTCATAAATAATGAAATAACTCTAAACCTCCTATTTATAATCGTAGCCTGAAGTAAATATCTCTATGAAATAATAAGGGGTTGGATATTCTAAAATTTTGATCTAGTTCAATTAAAAATCTCACAAAATCGTTATCAGCTAATCGTCTATCTATGAACGCCGAAATAGTTTATCCCAGCATTTTCCTTTGTTATTTATTATGTCCTGGAAGCTTCTGTTTTCCGAGTCCTAATAGGCCATGATGTTGTTTTTGAACGTAGGACCCTTTGGACTGGATCCGACTAGCTGTTTAATTTGCTTAACGAATACAATAGATATATTCACTTCAAGTAACAATAAACCTCCTGCTGCAATTCGAGCTCATATATTTATTATATTACGACAATTATATTTACAAGATAGCGGCGTTTCGTTTAGAACGGAAAACTGGCTATTTCAGAACATGGAAAGATGCCAATCTGTCAGCTTTCCTAAAAACTCATATAAACCGGAAACTATAGAGGAATAAATATTCGGTACCTAATACTGGCGATATCTGCGAAGCAATTACACGAGTTTTAATGAGAGATTGTTCGCAATTAGATCTCGTTCAGCTAATTTCAGCAACATTACTGTTTATTACTAATGTATTATGTGTATGTGTGTGGGCTAAAAAAGAAGCGAGCTTTCTTTTGTACGTATTTGAGTATCCCGTAGACACGATTGACATATAGTACTCGCGGAGAAAATCACCAAGAAATCGGCAGAAAAACGTAGCGGACGTTTGCTAATACAAAATTCGAAAAGAAACGTACTTTACTACATTATAAAACACAAACAATTAACAACAAAGTAGCAGAAGCATTTCGTATGCGCGTCTACCTCGCTTGGTGTCGCCGCTCGCTGCGGGGAGAAACACCACTATTCGTATCATTATCATATTGAGAAATAAATTAATCAGCTCTCACTGAACTGCCAGGTTCCCCCGGCATTTACTTATGCTCGCCAGCGCTGTGGGAAGGACGGGCTGAAATCAAACCAAAATATATCATCGTGTAGAGTTATCATTGTAATAGAACGGGAGGCTTAGCATTAACAAGTCTTGGAGCAATTCAGTCTAGAAATCGCTTTTTCCCTTTACATTTATACGAGGAAAATAAAAACGAAAAGCGTATATATTTGATAAATGTCGGCTTTTTGCCTTGTAGCAAGATCGCTTTTAGCCCAACGCAGGTTAAACCCTCTGTATCATTTGGAACAAGACCTATTATAAACCTTAAGCAATATGTGGGCGTATAGAGAAACTCACGCTTGCATTTGCAGTACGAGCAGCGCGTGCCGGGTTTCTGTTGAATATAGCAACCGTATCGGGCTGGGCAGGACGAAATTGTTGGACAGTCTGCTCGGTCACCCTGAAGTCCTTTCCAATAGTCATCGCCATGAGGATGTTGGTTCTGGATTGTGCTGAGGTGAGCAGGGAAGCTTGGCCTGGGGGGATGGACGGGCGGGTATTCGTGCTCATTTAAAGCAGGACCAGTTGGAGCGAACAGAGCGTTCACACTGTTTCCGGAGAGAATGTTCTCGTGCAAATATGCCGCGGCTATACGAAGAGCGCGCCGTAAGGTGGTCGTCGCACAGAGGTGGATGAGGGACCGAGCACGATGAAATACAGAGCAGTTAAGACACATTGATTGGTATCTTTTACAGAATGTAGAAAGTTTTATCGAATTTTTGTGGGCTCAAAACACTTAACGAATCAACGTATCGCTCACGACAATTCTATAGTAATACGCTGCATAATTTTCACTATCTAAAGACATTATAAAAATATAATATCAACATGTTTCAGTAAACCAGCGAAGTTTATTTGCTATATACAATATCGATTATCTTGCTTGTACAGAGAAACGAAGACAACGCTTTAAAGAGGTTTATTTTGAAAAAAACTAGAACAATCTATTAAATAACATAAACAATATATGCTTTTCGATAGATTGCCCTTAACGACAGGAGTAACTGGCAATTGGAAATTGCCCATTTAAGTTCCTGACTTGTAGCCACGCATATACACCTTTACAATTTAATAGTCGGATTTTTACCAGTCTGTGCAGTAATCTTGCTTGTTTCCCATGAAGCAGTACTGCTGATAATCGACTCAATCGTTCGAAGTTCGACACGGTGAATATTTTTGTAAAAAAAAAAAGTTTTTCTATTTCCTCCCTTTAGCAACAACTTCGATATTCTAATTTCTTAAAACTTGCTGAACTTGGCCACAAACTTAGTTATACTTATAGGCTAACAATACTATGCAATCAATGTTTTAAATAAGAGAAATATCATTTACTAAAGCTGTTCTTGCTGAAGCAGAAACATTTATGACTTTTTTGTGGACGCCTCAGGTCCTCCCCTGAAAAAGAGTAACCATGGGCCTAACTGTGGTGGCAAGCTGCGTTCCATCATACAACTGTCAAATTTAATATTTTTTTTTTTATTGTATGACGTGGCACGGTCGCATTGGTATACTGAATTCTCCACTGTTGTAACAACAAATGTTCTATGCCGATCTTTTGTTTTAGGTAAAGAGGTATACGTCTTATTTTAGTACATTTATATTCACACGACGATAACGATATCAATAGGCCTATTATATTCAATGATATAATTAAACGACATTTCTTCAACGCTAACTAAATTTCCATTGCGTATACCTTTGTATTGTTATTATTTTAATTCTTCGCCTCCAGTTGATTGCCTGTTTTAGGTATACATATGTCCATATTCATTCATGACAGCGTAGCATGGTTCCACTTCATCACAGCACGATATATTTATAATTGCTTGCACGACTTGTCTACGTGCCGATGTATGTAATGTCCACATATACATGTAACATTTATATGCCGAGCGTTGCTTTACAGGTGAAGTATTTCAAAATAGGTCCACATATTTGTATTTAAATCTACATATTATACTTTCACGTATAATTGAAAATTGACAGACTACAGATTACCATAAACTACACTTAAACTATAGCTTCCACTAAGTCCTAAAACCATTTGAGACCTTCGGGCTTCTTCGCTTCCGATGAACCGAGTTGACGACAAATAGATCGTTGTGAGGAACTCGTCAGGAAAACGAAACAATAGGCGACTTCATACGGGCCCGAACGCTAATAAAATTGTTGATCTTCAATATAACGCTTAACTCTAATCAATTGTAGTTCCTTTACCAAACGTAATTCAAATCAGTCTAGTAGAGTAGTGTTTGGTCAAAAATCCTACTACCATCTGATGTCGTACCTTTGCAGGATATACTGCTCCTACAATATATCCTTTACAGTGTATACACGTAGTAAATTAATTTAGACAAAACATTCTCACATCGCATAGAAAGCCTCAGTCTTCTTAATCTTTCCATTGGCCACAGTCGAAGAAATTTGCAGTAAGTCAAGCTTACGTAAGATGAGTGTGGATTAAGCAATTTCTAGAAACTCATTAGTTATTCCGCTAAACTGTGTTCAATTAGAAATTAAAAAAAAAACACCAGAACGATAGAAAATGCACCGGGAATGCTGTTTCGTAAGGTACGGTGGGGTATTAATGGCGCCATTAACAATTATTACGGAAACTAAACGCCAGAAAATCCGTCACACGATCGAATCAGACAAATACTGTATGTGGATCAGCGTTTATTAGACGTCAGTGTATTGTTTGTTTCTGTAAACGCTATACAACATTGTTTTACAAGGTAGGTAATAAATAGGCAGACAAACTTTATATCGACGGCTGACCCCTGATCGCAACAAATACGTACCTGAATTATCTTTTTTTTTTTTTTTTTTTCTAAGTGGATGTCGATATATTTTATGTTCAATGTTTTTAGTTACCGTTCTATTGATTATAAAATGATTCTCATCCGTGAGTCTTTAACCGTTTTTTGTTGACTGGTCAAATATTCTGATGTGAATTTGTATAGTGTTTGTAAGTGGGCCCGCAGTAACCGCGTTTCCATTTTCTAACGATTACATATAAATATATATATATATATACATTGGGTCGTGGAAACAGTATTAACCATGTTTCCAGCTAGATGGCTATCTCAAACAAGATGCGTCAAGTCGCCGGTGGCTTTTGAAAGCTGAGATTTAACAATAGTAGATCTATTAGAATTGTTGGAACGTTTTTATTCAGAGTTAAGATAGCGAGGTTTCGAGATGACCATAATTCCTACAAAATTTCGCTGTATTACATATTTTTATTATGATACAGACACAAATTTTGGCAAGGCCCATAACTGGGGCTGTTTATAACCAATATGCGTTATCGAAAGAATGGCTCAAACCTAATTTTGTCGCTTTCGTTTTAGGAATTTTAATCTATACGATGCTCTCCGTAGTAAGCAGTCAATTATGAAAGAAGTTGATGAGATAATCGCGAAAGTTGGCCAAGAGAGCTACGTCAGTGGCCATTTCTGAAGTGGTCGAAAAAAAGATCACATATAATAATAATGTGTGAATAATAAAAAAAAAAAAAAATATGCTCCACAATATGTGCCAAACCTAGGCTAAAGAAGGTCGTGCTATGTGTCTAGTGGGATTGGAAAGGAACCACGCGTTATAAATTTCTGCCGCCAACAAAACGGGTTACTCAGACCTCTATGGTAAACGACTAACACGACTTCAACAACCCCTTAAAAAAAAACTAACGAAAGAAAAGAAGTGTCCCTTTCCGCCATGACAATGCCAAACCTCGTAGATCTTTCCCTAGCTGGAAAAAATTAACAGAAACATTTCGATGCATTTGACAGATAACCCTAATTTTGCACCATCAGGCTATCAGCTCTTTCGGTCTTTGCAGAAGTCCCTTAATGGTCTCAATAGGGGAATGCAAAAATTGAAAAAAGTCAACATTTTTTTCTAGCCACCAGAATTCACAGAAGTTTTGCAGTTTATCATGACACCAGGACAATGGCAGAAGGTTATTAATCGAAACGGCAAACAAATAGTTGAATAATGTTATTTTAAGATACAAAAAGTCGATCACTTCTTTCCCTCTCGCTCTCTCTCTCCCTCTATATATATATATATATATATATATATATATATATATGGAAGAAAATGCGTAGTATTTTAATTTAAGGCAGGAATAACAGTTATTTTCTCAGAAATTATAAACGCTCCGAAAGTTCCTTTAAATTAGTTTTTTTAGTGGACTCAACATCGATAACTTATAATTATTTTTTTAATTATTTGTCCAGCCTGAAGAGAAATCAAGCCACAAAGCAAGCAAGGTAGGACAGATTTAACAGTATACGCATAACAATGCGGACCTTACAAAGAGATAGACTGATTTATTTTAAGGCACCGTTTACTATGCTAATACTGATTTCCCTAAGGTAAGTGCGCCTTTTTAATTGAAAACATATAGTCCTTATCGTAACCATGTATGCAGTGATAACTATAAGCGGGTAAAAATTATGGGCACGAATGAGATGGGTGCATCGATAATTCTCGTCTAAACATCCAGCGATGCCAGACCCAGTAATAAACTGAGTCGACAAGTGCCAATTGTCCCAGGAGGATTAAATAAAGTTATGCAATATTTTTTTTCTGTGTGCATGTGCTTATTTTTTTTTAATAGACTATTTTTTAGTTCATGATTGTATTCTTTATTTTTAGTTCTGCATTAGAGGAGTTAATAGCTCCATCATGATGAGGCAAAACCGTTGTCATTAACTTTAAGAACACTGAGGAACGCTCAGGCCCAAGATCGTTTAGACTGAGTGTACACCCACTAGTTTGATTGATTATTCGCTCTCTGAGCGAATGAACAGCTAAACTAGATCGTCATATATCACTTGCGCACGAATATAACGTAAATACGTCTTCAAAATGATCTGCCTTCTCGTTGTTAATCACGAAGATAATAAGGAGCCTGCTGTTATTGCTGCCAGCTGTGCTTTACTCGCATTTAGTTATTACAGTGGTTGTTGTTTTTATTGGAAGTCTGCAAGGGTCCTTCTTGCAAGAACGCCAGCTGATTGAGCAAACAACTCTATAAACATATATTTCTTGATTCATATTCCTATTTAATAGATTTCAATTTCTGGGGAGAGTAAGGTAGCGCTAATTTTTTAGCGTAGAAATGTAAAAACGGACGCTCGGTGCAGCCGGATCAGAACTCGAAATTTGCTAGCGGAGGCTCTTCCCATACGTTCCCATCTATTGAGAATAGATAAATAGTGACGTCCATGCCAACTCATAGCTTGTCGATGGGTTAACGGAGGTGTTCTAACACGGAGCCATTGAGTGTCAACGTGCATCGAATGTTATGCGTGCACAACTCTGAAAAACGTGTCGTAGTTTGAGGTATGGATAACGGACAATATATTATTCATTTGCCAAACATTTTACTTTTTGAGGTAAGTGTAGATAGAACACTTCGCTGGAAGATGCTTAGCTGTGTTTATCTGTACTTAGTAGCAAATGTAATACTTCTATCTCAAGATTTGTATTTGGAGGTACTAGTTACAACAGGAAGAAACATACAAGGAGCTGTACTCTGATGATTGCCAAAGACGAGTGTGTGCCAGTTATTAGCGGGGCTGCGTGTTTTTGGGGCAGCCGGGTAAGGATACGTCAATGGCACAGAATATTCAGGCCCCGCTGACTGACCTGGGGCTGCGGCCACCTGTTGCTGCTGATGTCCATCCTCTGAAAAAATCAACAAAGACAAGTGCATTCAATAGCCGCTTAGTGCACTCTTGTAAATGTCAAGTAAATATTAGGGTAGCTCATCGATGCGATTACGATCTGAAGTCGGTGCTTCAAATTAAACAGATCGTCCATCGCCGTGCAGTAACACGTATGAGGAGGCACTTCCGTCGCTATGTGATTTTTGTAAAACATTCGATCTTATGTTAATAAACATAGTCAATTTCTATAAAACAAACAGTGAAATAAACAATTTGTTCTATTTTAATCATGGTTAGCTTTCGTATTTGTTTAGGGTAAATTGAACAGATGGTTTTCGATGATTTAAACCTTGAAGTTCCATTATGAAGGCATTTTCAAGCTCAAACGGAATCTATACGATTAAGTGCGCACCCTCAGTGTTTGTGTTGATGTCAAAAAAAATTACCAATTTACTTCAAAGCTGTTAATTATCGTCCTCAAATGATTTATGTGAATTCTATGTTTCCTTAGCTCGTTCGTCTATCATCATAGACGGTAACAAAGCTGTTATTATAGACCCAGCAAATAGATTTTTTTTTTTAATTTTAACTATACAGTTTTAGAAATAGTTTCTTTGACGTTTTGTTAAACGACTGTCAATGTCTTTATTTTAGGTATAGTATTGAACGCTTTTGTTGATACTGCTGGCCGATTTTTATTTTCGTCAACGTTTTTCACTGTAATAACTGTTTCATTTATGGCAGTTATTTAATGCCTAGTTTTTGTAAATAGTATGTTACAAACTGACTGCTTAATAACTTTTTGCCATTTAGATGAGCTGACAACTGAAACTTAGGGGCCCGATGTATGTGGAAAACTGTATACATGAGAATACCTTTTTCTAGGGAACACAAAAAAGGTGTACGGAAGCAGGCGGAAAGTGGCAGATATGCCATTAGATGCTTTGTTTGCCAAATACAATGCCAGTTGATCACTCCGCAGGTTTCAGCGGAAACCTCCCTAATTTAAAATATAAGGTCTATCCTAGATGACATGAAGAGTGACAGGTTGTACCAGCAGATCTGTCGTCAAAAAATTGCCATTTTTTTACAGATATAGACTAATCAAATAACCCATGAAGGGCATGTAACCCCCAAACAATCCCATTTGTGTTCCAGAAGTCAAATTTCACAAAACCGCACCAGCACTTCTTCTTAACAGAAAAGAAACTGCTTTAAATTTCAGCGTTTTCCATTTAGCTCAAATTGAGTGATAGTACTTTAGATTTCATTGCTGTTAGCAAAAATTATTTGGCCATTTTGTTGAGACTTATATCAGTCATCTTTTGTTGACTCTAGTTGAACGGGTGATTTATCTTATATATGAAGAATCCGGGCTGTGTTTTCCGCAGGCCAGGATTAACTGAGTCTTCTGGTCGGGAATATAATGACAATTTAGAGATAATATTATCATATAGTGGTTCCCTGACCTAGCTTTTCCTACTAAAAGTTTTTAAAATCAGAGTTTGTGTAATATTGAAAGCAATAAAGATACAAACTTAGTTTAGTTCGGCCACACAAACGCGAATGGTTCGGATATACCTTTTCATGAAGTACGTTACGAATATTATTTGTCAGGATTTACCAGTGTCTTTCCAAGCCAGTTTACTATGGGAAAGGTTCTTGACAACAGCTATAGAGTCATTTAGCGCTGTTCTACCATCTCAAGAATCGATCTAGGTAAAATTCGTTGCCGAGAAGCACCGACTTAATACTTGTTACACAGTTTAATGTTTAAGAGTAAATAATTTCAAAAGTTCTTTTTACACAAGTGGCTTAAGATATGGAATAATAAAGAGGAAACTGTCATTTATGAAAATTATACCTTCATAATATTTGAGAAGTGGGAGTATGAGCGACGAGTATTGAAATTATTTGCCATAGACGCCGTTCAATCCGGCCCGATTTAAAATGCAGAGATTGTGAGATTGAAGCCGTTACCAACGGCTTGCAATTCTAACTTATAGATGTTCTGTATTTTGAAACATTCAGCCCTATCCTAATTTTTGATTGACTTTATTTGAAAGCAGATAGGAGCCAGACAGGGGTAGACAAATCTACAACGGCCACCATCATTGATACGATCACACCGGAGCGGTGTTAAAAAGAAAACGTAAAATTGTTTTTCTTCGTGTCTTCCCGTTCGTGTCGACATGACTATGCATTCAATGTCGCGATAGCAGCGTCTCGGCATCTTACGTGCGAAGTGACCGCTCGACAAGTTTCATAATCAAGGTCTTGTAATCAAGGTTCATATAAAATCCTATGCACGCAAAGAAAGGAGTGCTAAAAGCCTTCAATTCCTATATAGTACCCGCGACGAGCTATTCGTACAGCTCCTATATGGCCTTATAGCATCATCGGTCTTTAACGCCAGTTGTCTGTATTCTTCGCCCAACGATAAAAATTTTATCACAACTTCGCCTCGTTGTACTCTTCCCACCAAAAACAGCAAGGTCACCAACGGTAACGCAATGTAAAGAAGATGAAAGCATTATAATTTGGGAAGCAAAAGATGCAATTTTGTGCGATTCTTTTTGTCCCGCTCCAAATTGCCCGCAATAACTCCGGTTCCGCACCGATGACCATTCAAGATACAAATGTCGGGAAGCCAAAATGATCTTATTGAAATTACAGAAAGTTTTAACCATTCGCGGCTGCCAGTACCGTTTATCGTCTACTAATAATCTGGGTAAGGCCAGGTGAAGTACACCTTATGTTGCTACCACATCTCTGGCAAAATAGGGGGCAGAAAATTGCATCTGAGAAGCGTAGCATGGAGACAGTGAAATACGTGTTCGGGGTCCTACTTCTAGGAGATGAGTGCCGGTTAGTACACATAAGACCAGTGTAGCATATTAAAAAAACGGAGCTGTATAAATAGATAACGCAACGAAAATATAAGCCAGAGAAGTAATCATAAAGGTGCGCACTGGATTATGACACAGAAAATAAACTGTATCAAAAGGGACCACGAAGCTTCGGGTTTATTTACATGCTTGATATCGATCGAAAATGTTATCAATAATAAATAATAGTACCAATATTTGATATAACATACATGATATAATTTGAAGATAATAGTACCATCGGTACTGTGAAGATGTTCGGCTTGGCAAGTTACTATTGAAAAGGTACTAAGCAGCGTTCTTGCCAGTCAAACACTGAAAGAAGCTTATACCACTGACCGGGCTAATGAGAGACAAGGAAGAATACAGGGAAACTGAATATCGACTTATACTGAACTCGTTCAAAATGGTATAGAGCTCGTATGAGCTAACGCAATAACGTAAATTCAAGTCATACTTTTGAACTTAACATTAACTAATAAATAAATGGAAGTATTTCCTTTTTTTACAAAGGCCATTTCTTGTAAATAAATATACATTGCGGAACAAAACTAAAGGTACCACAACAGACGCCACTGATTTGAAAATATCGACGCCAAGCCTTCAAGTAACTGTGACGATACATGTTGTTGTCAATGGATCGTAGAGAGAGCCGATTAATTCAGAGAATAGTTTAGAGGTACAGGTAATATTTTAAGTTGTCTTTTCATTCCTCGAAAAACAGAATGAGATCAGAGAAAATGTGTTTGTTAACGTTGTTGTAACGTTGAGTCCTAGACGCACAATTTGTCGAGCGTTAACTGCGGATCGAAAATCTGACACATACTGGCATAACAAGCGGATCATTGTAAATTTATATTTGTCATAAATGAACCTTTGGTCGTATTGCGGTTCGTGCAGAGGCTGTATAACGTATTTTCCAATAATTATTATCTTGTTACGATAAAAATACGAGCAATTATACAGTCGTATGTAGTTTTAGACTAGGTAATGATAGTATGTGTTGTAAATTGTTACATTATTATCCATCAAGGACCTTCTGTTGATGTCAACACGCATTACTTACACGGTAGAAATGTGGCCGTGAGAGAATGATATTAGTCGACGATGTCGATTTAAATCAATAGAATACCAAAAAAATGTTTTAGATTATAAAGCTTATAATGATGAACTTACGGAGCAACAGGACGAGCACTTGGTACTGATTGTATGGGGGCTGATTCATACTGCTGGCCGAAAATTGAAGATCTTGGTCAGAATAGCTTGCCGTTCCTGTAACAGTAATTTAATATTGTCATTCCGTTAGAGTAGTCACGGGAACTCTTCGGTCAGTTATTAAAACGGCACAATGGAGAAAACTTTTACGTACTTTACCATCTCAAACGTATGTGCTAACATCCAGTTTAAATCATATTACTAAGTTAGCCGTCCATGTCTACACATAATTTTTTACAGGGTAGTTAATATGTTAGTTAATCGTCATAACTGAAGCTATACTAAGAAAACTGCTATTCGTGAGCACCGCGGAAGAGGTTCCGTTCGGAAACGGTAGGAATAATACTAAATCTAGTCGAACAATTTGCCACATTTTCCTATATAGATTGTTTTTCGTTGAAATGCGGGCCTATCAGCAAATCGGGGAAAAATCACAATGCACATTCTCAAAGATAAATGGGCTCCAAACAGCGGTAGATGATATACAGCTCTATAAATACCCACCTATTTCGGTATCCCCAGCAATATACTAAAGTCCACTGGGAAATTAGACTGTGCCTAGCTATTCGGCCCTCGAGATGTATGTCTCGCTGCATGTTCAAAAGTAATCACCGATCAGTGTTTTTCTCTATAATAAAGAAATAATTTTTAGCTATAATAAAGCAGAACATCATAAATCTGATCACTCAATAAATTGCTGTTAATCCCATTTCATCAGTGACATTTTCTGTTTTAACAAAAATTAACTAACGTTTTGCCGTGGCATAATCTTCGCCGATGCTGAGGTGCCGTTTTCGCAAACCATAACCTTCCCTCAATTAAGTCCATTGAACACGTCTTAGTTAACCCCTTCTTTGATGCTTGTTTTTATATATCAAGTTATACTTCTCCGTTCAAATACGTGCGGCTCATTGATTTAGCTATCTGATCTGTTACCAATAAATTTTTCATTTTCATCGTGCCGGAACATGCTCCTCGACCATTCAAAGGGCTTCTGTTCAGGAGTTCTCCGGCGTTGCGACTTCTTGGGTTATCACACCTCGTATGAAGCCTGTATTGTGTGTACCCTAAAAATTGATTACCACTGCGGTTTTTGTTGTTCGCAACTGATAGTACGCTTAATCGTCGAACAATTTTACGAGACGCAAACTGGTATCCACAAGCCTCTAAAAAATGAGTCATCACTCAATGCGAAACTTCGGATACGAGCGGAAGCTTCAAGAGGTGCCTGCCTTGTTGTTTCTTTTGTTATCAGCAAACGTGCCATTGCGTGCGATCTGCTGATCGACGGAACGAGCATACAGCCAGCGCCCTTACGGCATCAATTTCCAACGCTTGCGGTACCAATGCAGTGCGACAATTTACGTAATTGCCACTGTCGTTTGCTTGTACGATTTATCGTGAACAGAGATGTACTTTTAGCGCAAAGATCAGAAACAGTACTGCCACTATTAAAATACATGCCGTATCGGAAGGATCAGGAGACGGCATCATTTGTCCACGCGGATCAATATATTGCCTAAGCGGCCGATGATGGTACGCGTACAATGTTCTATTTGAGTGACAAGTCACAAGTAGGAACTGGTGTAGAATAAGTGTGGTTAATTACGATCAGGCCATACATCGATTATGCAACGCGGCCTCCAGTTTGCCACGTTTCGTTTAAGGAGACGTTGTGACAGTAGCAATGCGCAGTAATCCTTTCTTGCGGAGTTAGCGCTCAAGTGTATACCTACATGATTAATAAAAAAAAATCTTAATATTACAAACACAACAATTCTTTTTTCTATCTAAAGTTTTTAGCCATTCTTAGGTGTACCTAGCTTATGCCTCGATTCCAGTAGACTCCGGTCTTTATCTACCAGTTTAAATAAAGGCTGTCTCTACGTCAATAATAAATGTATCTAATATTTTATATCAACTGATCAGATCACATTATTTTTTTATTTTTCAAATGTAAAAAAAAGCTGTTTTAAATGTCTATAATTGCAGTAGTTCTCAATGCACTACCGTAATAATTACTTTCATGTGGACTTTTTTTTTTTCACAGAAAACATGGAAAGGGCATGAGGATGGTATTGGGCATGATATATTCTCTACATATATTTGCAGTTTAGCCGCTGTATGATCTATAAAAAAGAATTGTATTAACAAGCATCCTAGTCGTCCATGAAAAGCAGCATTTTAGTATCGTATAGAATTATAAATTTACCAGAATCTTGCCGAATGTCCCAGATCAGTTATGCTGCCGAGCTCTGCATAAACAAATACTGCTGTTCGATAAAAACTGCATAAGCGGTCCGTCGAAGAGTACTGATTGTTGTCCGTATAAAAAAAGACTGCCATCGTCGATCTTTGTTTCTTTACGCCCCTGGATATCGACATATCTTTTAATCTTATTTAGCGCCTACATGTGTGTATATATCTACTCACTTGAACGCTTTTTTCGACTACAGCCTGGAAATACTGCACAAGCTGTTATTATACTATAAAACTCTCTCTAGTTTATTCTCACTATCTGCCCTCCTGTACGGTCTCCCACATCGACGTCGTGTCCATCATCAGAGCTCTGGTTCATTTGTCGGGTACGGTTACGTAGACCTGAAGGAAACTTACGCAGTGTTCGTCTCGCGATTCAGATCATATGGGTAGCGTATGATTGAGTTGATTCTCTATGCCACAGGATTGGCAGACGATTGCTAAGAGTTTAGGTGGCTTTGCCGATTTTTTGGAAGTTAGCGTGGCCGACGAATGTCTGCGCGGCTTAACAGCAGGGCCCTTGTATGTGTTCTCCTTGCCTTCCAAATTACATATTAGTCCTTTACCGGCGCAAATGTATGTATCTTCATATTCAGATAATTAAACTATTCGGACTATGAACCTTTCGACCGACTTGACTTGATATATGACCTACCGGTCCATTGGTCTCTGTCCTTGTTTGATTTGTTTGTATTTCTTGCCCAAAACGCCTATATTTTGCATGAGCGAATATATTCGACTGATCCAAAATAATTACATACGCCAATTTTGAGACATGTGTTGTCGTTGCAGTTTCTAGATCGTGTCGATATACCATAAAACCGAAAATTTAGAGTTTCGACACCCGCATTTATCGTCGACATGAGCCCACCACTTTAAGCCTTCTTATAGATGGAACGAATATTATATTCAGCATCATAGCATATGTCTTTTAACGAATGGAAACATAAAAAAGATCTTCAGTTAACACTCTTAGGTGGAAATAAGTATGTATCGACTATGAAAGATAAAATGTAAAGGTAAGTGGATGACGCAACTTCTTCGACTAAGGACTTGGACTTGTAGAAATATGCCGGTTGTATCTACCAGTGATAGGTATTTCCTCTTTTATTAATTTGGCCCAATATAACGTGCCTATAGTCTTTACTATTGTTATAACTAGTACAATGCGAAACATATCGTTGGTTGTCTTGTTGAAAATTCTCTATCGCAATCGATTGGAGCAAAGATGAATTTGCCCCTGTGCTATCGTGGACCAGCTAGAGAAAAACAATAGAAAATCATATTGCACGAGAAATGGATTGTAATTATATGGATTATCACAGCTGATTAAATAGGTCTTCTGCTCGGTGCGGTACTCCGGCAGAATGAGGGACGGCGACACCTTTATCGATTGTTTACTGCAACAAATAGGCAATCGTTCCGTCTTTGACATTTTTCTTACATACAAGCCTAACCAGGCTGACCCCAACTATGTTAAAAGGGCAAAAAATACAACTTAGCATTATTTCAAGAACCAAAGTTAATCTTTAGCGTGTCCGTAAGTCCAATCAGTAAATTTACTCTATAACGGCTCGCTCCAACTCGTACGAGTTTCAATAAATAAATATATTTCAAAATGATTAGCGTAAAAAAGAGGTGGGTCTCTTCAGTCGCCTTAGATTCACCACGGTGTTGATGGTGACTGCCTCTTCACATCTTTTGTGGATTTCCATGGAGTCAGAATTCAACAATTCAGGTAAATGTGCTGCTCAGCGTTTCATACCGACGAGGCAGTTCAGCATCTAGTCTAGATTCAGTAAGGACAGCATCCTTATAGCACCTTTAGGCCGTTTAGGCCTGTCTCTCTAATGTTGATCCCTTAATAGATAACTCTGCTTAGGTCAGTATGATGACAATGTGTTGAGAACGCCGGTCGAATTAGTCATAGAGAACAACTGATATAAAAAATTGAGCAAGTTTAGACCAATTTATTGATTAATAAAATAAGCTTCTTTTTTCGCATCTATGTCTAGCTCATAGTGATAGTAAAAACAACGTAAGCTTATAGTCATGGTATTATTAACGCAATAGATCGTAAAAATAACACACTAATGATCCTATTACAACACAATAGCGAACAGCTGCACAGGGCCCGTTAGCGAAATAAAAGACCTTATGTAGTCCTGACTAACTTACGCTTAGGTTACTCTTATATACAGGTACCTAAGCACAGTATTGTAGCTTAGCATGAATCGATCGTAATGTTGTGAACCTTCGGCAGATTCTTAAAGGTGGTTCACCCTTCACGAAGAAGTTTCCTAGTAATACTTGAAGCATAAACGCTTGTTTAAATAAACCCAGCTCGCTTACTACCGAAATGCAATGTGTAGAATTGTGGTTATTATACTAGCGGCTGGCAGTATCACCTTGTCCGGAGCTAGTCAGTAGGCCGGTAAAACTATTTTTCTTTATAATCATTTATAATTAACAAACGAAGTTTACTAAATACTTACATAAAATCTTTGGCTATTTGCTACTTGAAACAGATTGAATATCATGACAGAATAGCGATCTTAGAGACCGAGGTACGTTTTAGTGCTGAAAATCAACGCTCAGTAGGTATGTCTGTGTTTCACTATAACTACCTAAGGCTTATAAAAACTTTGGGCACACAGGACCTCAGAAAAGCAACAGTTTATTGCTGCAATCATTTTAACTACTGAAATGGAAGGGTGGACACCAAGAGGGAGGCAACTGCCTCTTAAGACCTGAGAAGAAAGAATTGGTTGCTGAGGCCTTCGAGAAAGGCAAAGCAT